GCAAATCACCAGGAACCAATCGCAAGTAATCAGTATCTAAATTCTTCTAGTGTCATGGGATTTACTTCAAGCTTAAAAAAAAAGAGAGTATATTAATGTGACTATAATGTAGAACTGTCTAAAAGACCTACAAATTCATTAGTCCTGTAAATTATTTCCAGGGAGTTTCTATTAGGATCTTTTCCTTAAAAGATTATAAAAATACAGAGTTGAGAAAATAAGAACACAACATGTTCTAAGTAAGAACTGATTAGACTGATGCAGAAGAAATATTTAAATAAATGTCTTAAGATTTCAGATAATAGTTCAGGAGTCACAGGCAATGGGCTTTACCATAAATGCAACACAGCACAACACAACAGAACACCACCCAATACAGTACACTTGTTAGAGGGTTTCACTTCCTTTCAGCGAGCTGAGCTAAGCCATCTGTGGCATGAGTTAACACACACCCATAACAAAAGTTATTTTTTAATACCCATTAAAAAAACAGCTTTAGAATTAGAATAATAATTATTTAAATAGGCAGCCTTCCACCTGTATTGGCTCAATTTTTTCCCTGTAAATTAATCATTTATAAAATATTCAAAAAGTGGTCTTGGTAAATTATAAGCAATATAAGAACCAGAATATAAAGTTTAAATAAAGTAGTTTGGCTATTTTCATTGGGTATTTCTGCATAGTTTGACTCCAGCAAAGCTAATTACATTTTATAAGATTTGTTTCATCAGAAATTAAGCAAAGATTCTATCTATCAAAATTGTATATTTGGAACAATTATGGGAAACACTATTGCCTTTTGATTCTCATGCTATTTTTGGATGCATTTACCAAGATAATTAAACGTTTATTTATTGATGCATACTAAATAACAAAAACCTTATCATGGCTGCAAAAAGCAAGATTGAGTTTTGATTAAATAAACTTAAAGGAACAGAATTATTCCCATCCCCTGAAACACAAGTACTTAGCCCGTGCTTTGAAATCATTAATATTATTTTAAAATGCAAGTCAATAGGTTCCCATGAGCTAGTTCTTCATGTTAGTAGGAGCTGAAGAAGCCAGCGTTCAGGAGATGGTCCTGGCCTTGGGAGCCCCAAGAGCTTTTTTGTCAGTTTCCTGAATTTTAATACTAATTGAAAGTAGAACCAAACTTGTTTTTGTTGTTGCTGTTATTGTTCCGTTTATTGGTGATGATGTTTCTGATGTGAGAGGGATGAAACACACAGAGTCAAATGTTCCTGGAACAAAAAAGCAGGCTCCCTTTGATTGCATCTCTGTTATCTGAAAGGAAGAAGCAGCAGACGCACATCACTTCACTTGGCATCCAAATAATAAGATGGGTTTTAAAAACAGCTTTCATATGCTTTGTCTTTGGAACAGGAAGAGAAAAACCTCAGAAACAATACTATCTTAAACATTATTAGAAATGTGGCTCCAGAAAAATAGCCCCCACTACTGTTTAGAAATAGCTTAAATAGGTACAATAAGAATTCAGAAAGCAGTGAAAAGTAAGGAAAATAGTCCTTAAAGATAGCTCCAATAAAGCAATTTTGATTTTTGATGGGATAAGAAAATTCTTAAGACAGCTGGACAATATTACACAGCAATGTGTTTTTAAAAATATGTATTTTAGTAGAAAACTGTTTTTAAGATACTTTAAAATGTCACACAAAAATGACAGATTCGACTGTCAAAATTGTATTTTGTTGTTCGAGGATTTATATATGTATAAATGAACAGGTCTATATTATTCTCCATAAAACTAGACAGTTTGGATCAGCTTCTCCATTGTTACGACCATTTCATAACTTAGGCCTAATTACTAAACAGTTGCTGCCTCATCACCTTACTTGCCCCATTATGATCTTTCACTATTTGAAGCAAAACAACTGTGGCAGCCTTCAAAGTTCTGTCATAGCTTCAAGATTATCAAGAAACTCTTCTATAGTAAAGTAAAGAACGTAAAAACAACTTTCTGAATGGGAGGAAATTAGAAATAAAAGACTAAGCCTTCTAGAATCTATTTTTAGCACACATTCCTGGAAATATTAGTCTCAGGCACTACTCAGCACCCCAACCCCCCACCTGTAACACACATATGCTATTCAGTAGTTCATCAGGTCTGAAAAAGCTGTTCTCTTTTACAAGGTTCCCATGTGACAAGATTCCCAAGTCATTCTGGCTGCTGGGGACTCTGCCTTCATTTGTGGGCTTTCTCAGACTTCCTGAGGGCAGGCACCTGAGGCAAACACCTGCAGTCACTGGGTCGCCTCTCCAGGATAGCTGCCCAGCACTCTCACGGGCCTGCAGGACACACCACATCGATCACACTCCTTCGGACTACTGCATCTCTGAAACTTTCATTATTATTTTTTCAATATATATTTAAAAATTAAATACCATATTTACCAAGGTTTCTCTCTAGAAAACAATCACTACGAGGGTAGAACAGTTTGGTACTTCACTTGCTATGGTGTCCGGTGGGGCTGAATACTAC